CCTAGGGACGTTCCAGTCACAGTTCTAAGCTTCATTTCTAACGTTTCTCCTTCATTGACTTCCCGACGCTGGACTTGAACTCTGTTCAACAGGCAGTGGCAAAGTGAACCAGCGCTGTCCGCGAGGTGGAACTCTTCCCAGGTCAATCTACTCTCTGAAGTCCATTTGCGGCTGGCAACATCGATTTGAACTATTTGTTGGTTGTTCGTTTTTTCAGCAGTCCATGCAGAATACAATGTATTCAAATATTTCAACGATTTTGGATGATGGTCAAATGCGCGGCGTATCAGTTCGCTTCGAACCTAGCTATGCTCGTTTTTCCTTTTAAACGGTCATAAGCAAATGAGTGAACAGCACGTTTTTATGGCAGTGGAACCTGTCGAGGACTATTTTTCTTTTATTTTTTGTTTCCTCCTTCTTCATAACCTTTTTTCCGTTCCTAAGCCTACCTTAACCACGGTTTTTTAGTTTGTGAAGTCGTGAGTTCTCAAAATAAGCCATGCCGTCGTCGCTCATGCGATTGTTTGCGTGAATCTTTTAGTCTCTGCTTACTCGATTTTTTTTTAAATATACGTCATTTTTTATTTGCACTATCACATGATTTCCTCAGACTAGAGGATACTGTACATTTGCCATGGGAACACACGGAAATCGCAGCCAATGAGACTGCGATCTTCGCGTCCTTGTAACGCCGAACTTTTTGGGTCAAGTGAACAGTGACTCGAAACACATACGTAATGCTGATGAAATAGTTTACCACTTTTGTCCTCGACTGCCCACACTAACGACTATCAGCACCTGAAATCTGTGCGACCACCTGGAATGCTTGATTTTTTAGGCGTCAGTTGTGGGGCGCACGTCGGTTGTTGTCGACGAAGAATGAGCGCCCGATTTGGCTGTATCGGTGGTGGCGTTCCACATCTCATGTACGAGAGACAGGGCCACGATCGTTGTGCGACAGGGTCGTATCTGATTGGATACGAATGGGCGTGGCCAATCACTATCGCCGTCGCCGCAATACGCGGTGCACAAGCAAAACAACACGCCATGTCTGGCTTGAAAACAACAAATAGGAACAAAATGCAAAAAAATTGCAAATGAAAATTGAGTCGGCTCTTAGGAGTGGTAGAATTCCCCGAGCCTTTGTTCTTTCCTCTTCTTTCCTAAATTCTTTATTTCCATAAACTTTGACGTTTTACGGACGAAGTGCTTTTGGCTACTAAAAGTTCCAGTGGGTCAATTTGGAAGTTTGAGATCGAGTAGAACCTTAATATGGCCTCTGAACATATGGGTTTGTTTGGGTCCAATGAAGGTGTGGTAATGTGGACTGCTGCCTACTCCCTCGGCTTAGGATTCAGATCTCGGGCCGGTTTTGACCCAAACCGATCAAGGTTCTATGGTTGTCGGATAAAATCTTGTACTTGTACGGGAGTTCATGTTGCTGTTTTGTCTTTTGGCTATCACCTAGGATCATAAGGTATAGGTTACGATCGCCTCCATACCCTTTCACATCTCACTTCACTAGAACTCTGACTATAAGTCTGACCCATGGCGTGCATCGAGGAGCAGTACTCGAGAGAATCCTCATGGGCTTTTCATGGCTTGAATAGTATTTTTCTTATCAGAGTTCTGCTGTAGGAGATGTTCTATGAAAAAAGTTTCTTCTTTCCAGTAATTTCTTGGCTCTACGGATGCTACTATATTTCGAACTTATGTTGTGTGTGAATATGTTGGTTGGTCCGATTTCTGAATAAATGGTGGAGATCCTGTGGGATAAGTTATGCAGGCGAACCTTTCTGGGGTCAGACATGCTCCTTTGAACATTAAGCAGAATGTTTTTCCCAGTTGTGGAGTCGAACATGGTGTTTCCTGCTGTAAGTAAATGTTTTTGGCATGGTAAGCAAAAGCTTGGCTCTGCATTTCTGAAAACCCATACAATTTGATATTTAGAGTTCAGTGTGGAACTGCAAACCTAAAAAAAATTCCTGGGAGCTACATTTTCGATTTTTTTTTCTTGAGGTGAAGGAAGGACGGGGTTTGGGAAGCACCGTACTGCGTAACTCGAATAATTATTGCTAACTTTCGATTTTCTTTTCTTCCGGACTGGGCAATTGGTACCAGAGTGTCTTATGAGATATCTTATTGACTTGTATCCTAACTGGCTGTGAAAGTCGCTCTACAGGCTTTCAGCCCATTCAATCGTCTTTAAAATGTTTCTGTAAAAAGGTTGAGTACATGGCGTAATGTGGAGTAATTGATCAGTCTTCTTGACACCTTTTGAGCATTGCCGTCCACTGAAACCCTTTGATAACGATGAGGTTTCGAGTTATCCATGAGAGTGAAGGTGTTGATTAGTCTCGTTACAGAATGTGCCAGTCATATTCATCTTTTTTAAAGACATGAGAGACTCAATTGCCCGAGTAAACCCAGTACTCGGAATTGATCTTCGGACTCGCAAGTCATGAGGATTCGACATTGGAAGTTAGAATCACCTTCTGATGTCTGTACCCTCCAATTCAATGGAGCGAAGAGGGGAGCGGCGACCCCATTTCCCCTAACCTCATTACCTACCGATGCTACGGTTAGCGCGTCAACTCTCCATAGCACGATGTGGCGCCGATCGAGAACTGATTCTGAAAATTCAAGTGCACACATTAGAATCGCAAGCGCTTACGAGATCGACCTAGTTTTTGGGTTTTATCGGGGTTTGAACTTTCTAAACCTTTATTTGAAACACCCCTTGAAGTCGGCATTGCCCTGAATAATGTCGGGATTATCACCACGTTCCTCTTTAGCAGTGCTAAGACCGGATGAGGAGGATTCCGTGGATTGAGGTTCTACTTACCATTTGCTCTGCTTTATTCTACTAGCCCACAAAGGGCCTTACTCTTCGGTGAGACATCGTGCGGCTTGGGTGGTCTAGGAGGGGGGGGGGNNNGATAACATGGATCAAGCCGGCTTCAAGCAGCAGCAGCATCAGCAGCGATCGCGCGTTTGACCCCGATCTCTTGACGATACATTGCATTCCCCGTNTCTTATCTACTGCACTTCTTATATTCATGGTTCAGACTTTTCAAAGCTTCATGATCTAAATTTCTCGTTTGAGGTACGGCACGTCGGCCCACTGAAAATTGGGAGTCAATTCAATACGCTATCGGCCCACGCGAGCCATTTGGGAAAGTACGGTACTCACCCCAGTGTATTCATCCTGATGGGTGATTTAGGACCATTCATCTGGTTACAGAGCAGTGATGGCCTTGATCAGCTGGCGCAACCTGAGAGTCTTATGGCTGAGATTAAGAGCCTCTCACCCCTGTCCTCGAAGGTATAGTACGCTAAGGGTCACTTCATATGAAATCGAATATGTTGACAGCCATAACCTGGATCCGATCCATTAAGGCTTGCTGCAATGGTGTTGACAGGGAAACGGCTTTACCATTCTCCCGGCGTTCCTAATCGTTTCTCTTATCTTATCGTTATCTCGTCTGATAACATGGATCAAGCCGGCTTCAAGCAGCAGCAGCAGCATCAGCCGATCGCGCGCTTGACCCCGATCTCTTGACGATACATTGCATTCCCCGTCGAGCGGCGCCGTTTTCATCGAACCCAATAAAGACACATCGCTATGCTAGATACAGAAAAAGCAGCGGTGTCTAGTCTTTTTTCCCAAGCTGTTCTTTGCTGGGCGATTTGGTGGTCCGTTGGCCAGGTAGCCTTCGTGAACCGCCTGTCCCTACTGATGCGATCGACAATTTGCACCGAGGTGGCGATTTCGCGCAGTCTCCGTTTTTGGTGGCTCTTTTTCAACTTTTTTGTAAGAATGGTTTTTTTCGGCTAGTTACTTCCTCTCCTTCGTTAAGTAAATCCTTTCCTTATTTGGTGGTCCTATTTTTTTGCAGGTTGTTTTCTTTGTGTGAACTGATTTGACGTATACTGTAGTGTTCAGAAGACCAATATCTGATCGATAATTGATTACATTCTTACTTATGCTGGTAATTCCATTTTAGGTAGTCGCTTATGTTGTTACTTCCTATCTTCTCTATGAAAATTCTAAATATTCGTTGATTTTTTCATGTCGATCCTTCCCCAGTAGCCACTTCTGAGTTAATTCGAACAAACTCCAATCTGTGGAGCATCTACAGTAGAACCCAGATGAGGTATTCGTATAATGGTAGCCACTAGCTACCCATGTGATTTTCTATGCGCAGATTCCGCATGACCTGAAGTGACCATCGTTGACGGTGGTCATTACATCATATCGGGGTTCGCTATCGGTTTGACCCGAAGCCACCGCCACCGCCACCACCGTCGCGGTCGTCGTAGCACAGTTCTCTCCCTCTTAATCCCTACATTACGCGGTACGGGCTATCTAAAGCGATGATGAATTGATTCGGCCTTTGCACTTATAGGTCAATGCTAGGCTGATAAAGTTGCTATCTGTAAATGAGTAATGCAAGTATGCGAGGAATACCGAGCGTTCATGTGCAATGTTAGCTTCATGTGAAGGATTGGAGAAATAAAGGGTAACTAGTAGGTGGGAGCATGCCTTGTATTCCCCCGGGTTAATCCGTCCCACTACAGAATTTAGGACTTAGCGTTTTGACGTAGAGGTTGATTTACTGAAACAGAGAACTGAGCTACCAAACTGGCGTACCCATGACGGCGCCTCCCACCGTTGCAATAGCTGGGCTCCTCTTCGGATGCGGTTTAACTGAAGACAGCTGATGTTTTGCTGTTATGCTCAAGTAAGCAGATGGTGAATGTTTAAAAATTTTCAACGTCAGCAGTATCAACAATTTTTCGGGTCGCGCCATGCACCTGATCTTACTCGAGGGTACCAGATGTGTTGAATGCGCACTGAGCCATGCGAAGCAATTTATTCTTCTGGTGTAGTCTATGTTTTCCTTCGACTTGATATGGCGGAGTTGATCTCTCTTAGTGACAATGGCACTATATCTCCAGACACTACACCAATTTGGTTCGTTACAACAATCCAAAGGATGAGTGGCCTATGGTTTATACTTCTTCATAGAGGATCCTGTAGGTTACACTTTAGGATGTGGAGGACATTTGGTTATACTCATTTCGTGAAATGCAACGAATAACCTAGAGAGGATTTCAGTAAATTAATCAGGGTAGAGCTTTTCGTGAGGCAATGTGTTTTGCTTTGAAAGAGACTTCACTATTCTGTTTTATTTTCGATTCACGCTAGCAAAGACATCTGACAGTGGCTCATTCTTTGCAACTAATTTGATGATGCCTGGAAAGAAATGTGCTCTAGATATGATATGCTTGAAATCCTTTCCTGGACGGACATCCTGATTAGGCCTTTATTTGCGACATTCTCTTGCTGTCCATAGTCCCCGACGTCGGCCGCAACTTCGATCGATATCCATCAAACATGAAGCGTTTGCTGCATAAAAAAGCATACAATGTGCCTAATTGTTTTTATTTGTGTTTTTTTCTTGTGGCTGGTGATAGTCGCCTCGTTTGCCTTTGTGAACCGTATCACAAAAGTGCTGAGGTGCAAAAGGAATGTTCAGCCGCGTACCGAATTTGAACCTGCACCACTGCTTTCGTGGCACAGCGCTTACATCCATTATTTTCTGAGATACCGTCTCATTCTCCTCATGTGATATACCTTTGCTCGGGAGCCTTCTCGCTTATCTTGTTAGATGATGTTGTCTTTTTGTAACTCTGTCTTTTGTATGAATCATTTCTATTAATTGTTTATTGATTTTTACCATTTCAGTGTATGGTAGCCATGGAGCTACTACTCGGTCCACAACCATTAGTGCGGCCGGTGTTTACACAACATGGCACAGAAAATATGGATATTGAAGAATGTGCCGACGGAAGAGAACGAGCAGCGAGTGTGGATAGCAGTGAGGGCGCAGAGTACGAGAGGAAAGACTACGTGGAGATAAAGTACGCGCGCGCGTTAGACGCGTCGAAAAGTCCGGCGTCGGGCGACGAGTCGCGGCTGGCAAGCGGTAATTACCGAGCCGAGTTGAAGCGTCCTGATTTGAAAGGTGATTTCGAATTCAATTTTTCGAATACGTAAAAATCGTGAATCTATCTAGTCCCTTCTAAAATGATCTTCCAAAACCTTGGGATTTGTTGGTTTATTCATTCTTTTATAGACTAGTTAAAGGGTCTATAATCTGACGAATATTCATGAAAATTACTAAAAGAAGCAGTTCTATTTGACGTGATGCGCGACTCCGTAGCCTTATTTCCACCTTTGAAGACGCTTTCATGGCTACGGCGCACTCATGTGGACGGGGCAAGTTCTCTGTTGCGGCATGGTCGTTCGGGTGATTGGGAAAATTGGAGTCACGTTGCCTATTGTCTCAGCAATATTTCTTTTCGGAAATTAAGTGGAGGTTGTTTTGGTGCTGTACTGTTTGGATTTACGTCCCAGAGTGGGTATTTCTTTTGAAATGAGCGGCGTTGGGGCATAATTTGGGTTTTGCTTTGTATAGTCAGATTGACTACATCGTTGACTAATGTATTCTTAGAAAAATTCTGAAAGACGTTTATTGATCTGGGCAGTACAAAAATAAATATATCGATTGAATTTCAGGAAGTTTTCGATGTTCGATCTGTGCTAAGGTATTTTGTCATTCGTCATCCCTGTCACGACATCGAATGCAGGCTCATTTCAAGAGCTACAAATGCACGTTGTGCCGTAAAGATATAACAAGTAAGTGTGTTTCGATTTGTGAATTACGGTAAACGGCCCGTTCTGCATTTACGGAATGTGTTTGTGAAAGTACTGGGTTGGATTCAAGCGTGTTGGTGTAGAGTGATGTTGCTATGACTAATCAGCCTCTTCATCGTTCTGTATCATCTGATCGTTGCCGACTAATTCGATTACATTTACCAGTTTCACGTTCAGTTACGCTACTATTCTTTTCCAAATAGGACCCCATAATTACGGTAGGCTTGGTTACCGTACCACTAACACGTTCCTCTCCAGTGCTGCGGTTAGACTCCACGTCGCTGGTGGTCTCACTCTGCGTCTCTGACCGCTCTGCTTCTCTGACCTCCGCGTGACGTTTACTCCGTCTATCGTAGCATATTTTATCATAAATGCTTGTTATGTATTTACGCTGGCTACTAATCGTCTCTGCATCTTGCTTGACCTAAATAGCCACGACCGTTAACCGGCTCGAGAAGTCGCGACGACGCTCGACCACCGTTCTATGAGCGTTCAACCCTATCTCTCTGGGCCGTCGACGTCTTCACACGACATCCACAACAACATCTCCAGGCCTGGATTAGCCTCGTTTCGCCTGCGGGTCATCGGATCCTCGCCTTGTGACCGAAGCAAGGAAATCATCTACGACTACGACAGCGACGACGTCTCTGGCTAGGAAAATGTAATGCTTCGACGAAGGCGAAGTGCATATATTTGGAAGTGTCGTCCGGGAACAGGAAAATGGGGGTCGGGGATGCCCCCACCATAGTGTTTACGAATCCCAAGCGGAAAATTGACCAAGTGAAAGTGTCCTTATTCGAAGGTCACAGGCCGGTATAGGGACTTGACCGACATTCAACTTCAGTAGTGTGCTTTGCTATCTATTTTTACGTTTTCTCGGTAAATATAGCTAGTGTAGGAGCGTACTTTTCAATTTGAAAATGAAAGTTGATGAGGGATAACAAGCTGCTGGAAACAGTACAGTAGGAAATGGTGGAAATGTGTCATGTCGTGAATAGGCTACTACATCAGGAAGAAATGGTTCCTTCCTAGCTGAATACTTAATTTCCAGGGGAAAGAGAAGCAACAGAAGAATAACCATGACTGTATGGTATATTCATGGGACCCCTTGGGAAGGGTGGAGCGGGGGGGGGGGAGGCCGTATTCAGTCATCTAGAAAGCAGTGGCGATGTTTTAGCAGGGAAGATTTGAAATTGGGAGCTTAGATGGTCTTGGACAGACACAATGTCCTGCCCTCGGCGCTATGGCTCATCTGCTAGGGCAGACATTTCAAGCCCATGTTGGATGCGCCATGCCTTCTAGCTCTGTCCAGAATCGTGAAAGAATATGACACAACGATTAAGAAAGACTTTCAGCAGCTGACGATTAAGCGCGGTGTAATTAGAGAGCGCGAGATCTTTTTTTCGAATTTTACTATTCTATTGAGTTTTGTAGTATGCCATACATCACTTGATTCTTGACAAGGAAGGTCTTGGTTCTAAGTGCTGCGTGTGATGGCTGTACTGCTATTCAGTGGCACCAACCTCATAGAACGATACGAAAATCGCTATCGTAGGCGAGTGCTATGTTCATTTCTGGTGGTGTCTTTTTTTGCTGTCATAAACGCCAACGATAATTGGAGCGAAAGTTTCGCGCATGCGCGATCGTGCGGACGCCGCCCATGCGGTAGCGATGATGATTTGACAGTACGCATCCCATATATAGGTTGGTTTTTCGTCTGTAGGTCAGTGAATGAAGAATTGAGTGCGCTAAAATTGCCTGTCGCGACGACGCGCCGCTCTTTCACTTCTTCGGACCTCATTTTTGAGGAAGTGAAAGGCGCGTTGGGGCGAGCGTCGTCGAAACGAAGCAATCTGCGTTGACCTATTTACTACGTAAGGGCTGACGTGTTGAGAAAGGGAGTATTGGGGATGCATGGGGACTTGTAGAAAGTAAATAGTCCTCAAAATCAAAATCTGCTCCACAGTCTTCAATTATTTTACAAATCTGGGTCCAAAGAGGCGGAGCTCCCCATAAATTTTCCAGCCAAGGTTAGGTTATCTGTATTGTTAAACGAACTGTAAAATTCCTTACTGGACTGAAAAAAAAACTGATAACAAGAACAATTTCCGCAAAATTTGTGGATTTTGTCGGGATGCGCCATGCGTTCGCCTTCCACATGAAATGCTGGAATCGATCACGGGCATAACTTAGCAGGGCTTTAAAGGGTCTTGAAATCACTGAAGGCGTGATCGCTTTGGCATTCTGGAAGCAACTCGTCTAGCGAGACCTTTACGGCACTCAATTCTTGGATGCTGCCTCACAATTGAGCTCCACGGTTTCGATGAAAGCCCGGTGGTGAGGCAGATCATGGCGCAGCTTTGCACTTGCTTGACACATAAGATCGGATCGTCTTTTTCCTAAATATTCAGTATGGTATAGAATTGAGGGCAGTGGGGTGGTTACCGGCAAGGTGACCGACTGGTGAGCCTCGTGTAGCCTTGACGCCTACAATGTTTCGTGCTGAGGCTTTCGCTTTCCCGAATGGGCGCAGTCACATTGCATAATCGGGGCCAAACCAGCACGGGTCAACGCAGCCGCCACACCAAATCCAAATAAGAATTGTATTCCGATTTGAGGGATTCTCTGTTGCCAAGTGAGGGGATCACATGGTAATCCTCGGTACCTGGGTGGGGAGGCAATTCAATTCCCAAAACACGCGTCGTTACAACTACGATTTACTGCTTGAAATAGATCTTCACAATTTTGTAGAGGTGGTCATTTTCCCACTGTAGTCCTCTTGGCCTTTGAATCAGAGTCGATTGGGACAAGGAGGATTTATGAGCCATAAAGGTGACTGCCAAGATGAACGCTCATTTATTCACTGATCACTATCGGGATGAGGACGAGGTCATTTTGGGCGATGGCGAAGAGTGGGAAAGGGGATTGATATCAACAAAAGTGCCCTAATCAAGCAGGGTTTGTCTCCCTGTAGCAGCGAATGGGTGACTAGTGCCGAGAAGAAGTTGCAGTTGTAGCACCTGTGGAATGGCTATCATTTAGAATTGGATTTGCAAGCCTACGGAAAGGAATATTGATGGCTTTCGGCAGCTCCCAGCAGTTGTGTGGCTAGAAAGGGCTTTCCACAAAGTTCTTCCTCCTGTTTTACGGTTTTTCCTCAATGTGGTCTGAAAATCTGAAAAAAGGATCCCATTTGCTTGATAGATGTTTTAAGTTTTTAATTCTCGAATTCACTGTCTTCCAAACGAAGCTGAGGAAATGAACAGGAACCAAATGTACTAGAGGTAGAAAAAATGTCTGTGGAATGTCCTTCCGAGATTTCAGAGGATCAGTTGCCCGTCCCGGTGACCTCATGAGGATTAGTTGTCGTGATCATCTTGAAATGAAATCGTGTCGGCTTCTGGATTATGGACGATATTTGTGGCGTCAGAAATAGGTCAGATGGATAATAGAATGGCGCTCCAGACGACTGGCCAAGTCGGGTTAGTTCTGGGTGGGCTGTCTCCGTCATATTTCTGAAATCCGTCCGGAAAACTCCATGGTTACATTAGCATGAGTATTTCTCCCTGAAAAATCTGATTACTTGATTACCTTTTGACTGCTTCTGGTCCGCTGCTCGGTTATCATCGAGACTAAACAACCTAATGACGTTTGGCAATGGAAAGTTGAGTGGAACCGAACCAGTAGGCGCATGGAGTGCTAGCGCCCTTTCCATTGCGCCATGGATGTCTCGCAAACAACTCAGGATGAGGATTAATTTTTCTTTTCTGATTGTGATGATCATTTTATACAATCTATATAAGCTTAATAGAAGAAAGCCTTTGGGATTGCGCCATGAAGTCTACTTCCATCAAAAATACTCGAAACGATCAGCTCGTCCTGGCGTCTCTACACATTTCTAAATGGTTTGTAATCAAAGAACTGCTAATCGTTGGTGTTTTAGGCTTGAGTAGAACCCCCCTATGCTCCTTTCGCAGGGGCCGAGTTTTTCGAAGATCGACTGGGACTAATTTCTTTTCGATACCCTTGGGTGGGTACATAATTGGGAGAGTTGGGGGAGGGGGTTTCCTTTAGCTGGCCTTCACAATCTCACATGAACGACAAGCTTTACTTATTTTGGAGCTACTGATCAATGATCGTTCAGAAGATCCTTCGGCTAGTAATACATATGAAACTGTAAAGCATTTGATGAATGATCCATGTGATAAGACGGTGTGACACAGTGATGAACCGACAGAATGGATGTCTCAGCACGGCATGACACCGTCGTAGCGGACTCGCTTTGGTGTTACGTAAGAGCGGCTCGTTGTCGTAGGTTGATCGGCTGGCGGACGATGTGAAGGGTCCAATTTTCGATCATTCAGTCGAATCACAAAGTGCGCACGTAAGAAAAAAAAACTGCGGAACGTATGCTTAATGGCTTTTTGTGTACCAGATCTCGGAAGGAAATCTGGGTCAATTGCTGTGCACGGCGCATCGTGAGGTTGGGACAGAGAAGGATGATAAATGAAGAGCAAACCCCAGGGGGTGCAGAGAGTTGTTAAGGGAATGAAACTCTTATCATAGGAGGATGACTGTTCTGTTTATGCAAGGCATAGGTATTGAAGGGTCCGGATGTTTGGTTTTTCACTCCATTCTTCAGCTTTGGGGAAATTGAGGGAAGTTGTTAGTGAAAGACCTGTTATTCAAGTAATATTGCTATGTCGGGGTTTCGAAGCAGGTTCTCAGCTTGAAATTTGCCCAAACACTGTTTTTCCAACAGTTTTAAATTCTGAGGGTTGAAGACGAGTGGATGGTTACTATTCAGCCCATGAAACGTTGCTTCAGTTGCCGTTCAGTTGCTCTTTCCCTTTCCATTCCCTTCATCTTTGAATGAGAACTGAGAGGTTGAGATTCAATAAACCACTGACAACCCCTATTCGGACATTTCTCTGGGGCCATAAGACAGGCGATGGAGCTGCTAAAAGGCGTTTTACCACACGAGTGATCCGAGGATAGTATCGAATCGATGCCC